ACTATTGCAAATGGCTCAGAGAGGGGAAATTGCTCTAAAAGGGCGAAACATAATTGTAAATTTCGCCATTAAAGGAAAATACTTCGAAGATAGAAGACTTCATCCAACTATTCAGGATATAGGAGACAAATTCAATAACGAAGAGATATTAACAAATTTTCTGTAGAAATCGTAAGAATTATACTCCAACGAGATAAAAGAAGCTCTGTCATTCCCATCAGCAGTAGTCCCAGTTAAAGTGTTAGGGGAACTGCTGCACAAGGACTGTTGAAAGCCAAATCACGATTGTTCACCTATAGTCCGGAACTCGCCTCCCCCCCCTTCAGCAATTTCCATCATATTTTTAAATTGTTTATTCATTAGTCAGCCATAAGGCTTTACAAGAGATGGGTTCAGAAAACAACACAATGTGTAGAACATTTATTCCACTATTTACATTTGAAGTTAACCTAATTGGGCTTATGCAACTTTTCTATTTGTTAATTTTATACAGGAGCCCCACCAACCACAGAGAGGCCACATCCATAACTTCAAACGATTTAAAATATCGAAATGCAGTTTTCGTTCAACAATGATAAATCATTGGGGCAAGAAATATGCTGCATAAAACTTGATATATTTCTAGTTTTCAACAAATTTCATCACCTTGATTTTTTAAACGAACCGTGAATTTTTCTCACTTGCAATAGAAAAATCACAAAAAGAACAATGGAAGGATGTGAGATATGTTAATGTTTTCATATTTTTTGACTATAAAATTAGACTTTCTGATATGTTATTTCAAATTGAAAGTACAATATTTCCTGTATCAGCCCTTGCAATTGTCGCCTTTGGAGAAGCATTGCGGCGCCCGCTCTTTTGTGGGGAGGGGCCGTGAAGGACACCCTACGCACTCCTTCCCACAGCGCAGATTGTGAAATGGAGGATGCTCTGCGATGTAGCAAACCATCTTAAACACCACAACAATCTCGTGATCTCGTCGTTCCAGAAAACATTCACACATGATTTCGCTATTTACTAGAAGAAAACTTTTCAGTGTAAGTTAATTTTTGGGATGTATTGTATACGCATATTTATCATTTATTCATATATTTAAAGGTATATTGGCAAGTATGCATCAATAATGTTTGATTTGATGTTGCTCTTTGTTTTATGTCACACAGTTATGTAATATCTTTTCTGAGCAAAAGTCTATTTTCCTAGTGCACCGCCAATTTTGAGAACACTATATGAGCCTGTAAAGAGTTTTTAATAATGCAATTTTCAAAGAATTCCGTACATGATGTAATTGAACTTAAAATCATTGTTATTATTGTTAATTTTAGAAACATTAATATGAACAAGATAGATGGAAAATAAATTGACAACAACGCCACAATACGCCTTCGGAGACATAAGAGTGTAGACATAATGCCACACGTAGACATAATGCCTTACGCAGAACTCGGAACCGCAGCATATAACTGCTCGTAGGCGCCCCATGATTCTTTTACACAGGTCAACTCAGAACGACGCAACATCCGTAATATGTGTAAGTTAATTGGCATATTACACATATACAGAAAAAAATAAAATAAAATTTATTGCAATCCTTTGAGTATATAACGAGCAATTTACAAATCCTGTGCAGCCAAGTCCACGCTCCAATGTAATCACCAGCAACTCTGGTTGATAGTGATTCCATATGAATGACAACTGAATTTACCCCTTCTACCCCCATCCACATCACTCTAGCTCTAGAACTCGCAACGTGCGTGCGTAACAAAGTTGAAAAAAGGCCGGCCTTAATGCCCTTGCTTTGCACAGAAAGGAACTCCGAATGCGGGTCACGTGACCTCTAACCTCTCGATCTCCAGCTAGAGCGCGCTGTGAGCTGTCGTTGGAGAAGGTCGCATGGTGAGCTACTCCGCGCTGACTACGCCCCGCATCGGGCGGGAAAGAGGGGGAGAGGATAAAAGAGAGATGATAGAAAGAGAGAGAGAGAGAGAGAGAGAGAGAGAGAGAGGAGAGACCAGAGGGAGTTGAGAGAAGAAGGGGTGGTTAGGGGAGGGGAGTGATAGGTCGGTGCGGGAAGGGTGGGGAGGGTGGGAAGGGAGCGAGGGTGGGGCAGGGGGAAGGGTGGAGCAGGGAGGGAGGGGTGGGACAGAGGGAGGGTGGGACAGGGAGGGAGTGAGGGGTGAGGCGGGGAGGGAGTGACGGGGGGCGGGAGGGGTGGGGCGGGGAGGGAGGTGTGTGGCGGGTGGCGGAGAGTGGCAGCAGTAGAAGGGAGGGGTGGGGCGTGTGGGGCGGGATGCGGAAGAAGGCCAGCGGGCGAGAGGGAACAGGCGCGGGTAAGCAAGAAGAGGGAATGGGAAGGGTATTTGCTCAAAAAACACCTTTCGGCCCCTCAGTCAAAGCTCTTTTCAATTACGCCCGCGCGTAAATAAACGCCAAGTGCATCCCTTTGGTGCTCGGCCGGGCCCCAGCCCTGCAGAACGCACGCGGGGAGGTGGGGGTGAGTGTTGGGATGAGGGTGGGGTGAGGCGGTGCGTCGGTAGATGCGGGCCGCTTTCCGAGTTGGAGGGGAAGGCGCGGAGGAGAAAAGAGAGGAAGCGAAGTGTGGATCAAAAGCGTAAGTATCGGAATTGCAGGGATGAAAATAATATAGCAAACTGAAGACAAAAATAATTCATCGAGAGATGCGACTCCTGTTTTCCAATACTTATATGAAGACTCTTATCCTTATTTCTACTATGATTCTAATTCTTCATTTACATTTCTAATGTTGTGAATGGTCAAGTCACCAAGGAGATGATGCAATGAATATGTGGCTGTGGCATGTAAAGCATTAGAAGTACTGAGACGAAACTATAAATTGGGCTAAAATTATTCGAACGTCAGTTTTACTTGAATTAAGCCAAGTTTCACATTAATCTTAATTTTACTTTTCGTTGCTCTATTTTTTATTTACTTCTTTCTTTGAAGTTGTTATCGATGACGATCCAAGGAATGAAATGTTTGAATGCAAGGGGATGGAGTGATTAATTTCTAGAGCAAAATGTCCATGGATGTTAGAATAATTTGGCGAATTGTAAAACTTCCATTTTTACTCTACTTAAAGACTTTCACTTTTCAACCAATTCATTTTATGCTTAATCTTACTTTTTCTTTTCTTTGAAGTTGCTGAAGATATCACAAAACAAAGAAGGAAGAGAAGCAGTAAAAATATTTTTTTTCGAATTCTTTTTTCCTTATAATCATTTTTGTGATGAATATTTTCATTCGGATTTTATTCCTGAATTTATCTCACGAACGAACACTTACACTGTGAGATTGGTGAACGATAGTTTAGCCCTACCAAACCAGAGAACAGTTTTTGCCTTAAAAACCTTTGAAGTTATTCGATGTAAGACGAAATTATTAGATGTAAGGTTGTTTTCAATTAAGGACTAGGTCGAACGATGGAATCTCATCGCCATCTTGATATGAGAAGCATTGTCAGCTAAGCATTGAAAGTCATTACTTTCAAATGGTTTCAAATGTTGTAATTGGGTCACATATGATTTAGCCCATTCAATAAAAGAAATGATATAATGCATAATTGTCGTGTAAATTAGCCAATAATTACGAATTTTCATTTCTATAGCAACGTTTTTATGAAAATATTGGTGAGAATAAAATTTATTTTCTTTTTATAATGCTAAGTATAAGACAATATTCCATCTCTCACTGACTCCAAAAAAGTTAACTTAATATACCTTAAATATCAGTGTCTTATTTTAAAATAGTTTGTTTATATGAGTATGTTATGGAGTATGTTTATATACGTGTTTCAAAAATATTTCATCGATCAAATTAAAAAGATCTTAGTTCAGAAGCGAGGTTTCAGCGAGATTCATCAGCAAATTTCTACACTTGCACTGACTATCGAAGTCTCACGCAAAACACCCTAACTCACTATTCTACTTGCTGTGACATTAGCTTAAACGTCATTTCATTTTCTCGGTGTGGGGGTTGATTCTCATACATGTATACTGCCTTTCTTTCTTTCCTTTTTCCCTTTAGTTGGTCACGTGATGTTTTGAACTTCATAGTACTATGCAACTTCATTGTTTAAGTGAGTGTAACTAAAGCATTTAGAAAATTGTTAACGTTTACTAATACACAATTACAAACCGAAGAGAAATTATTGCAATTATAATACAGGCAATTAAGAAATATTTCCAATCTAACCTTCATCCTAACCCATCATTGCAATTCTGTCCATGCCATGAGGTGATGATGTAGAGGTTTGCAATTTCATATTCTCATTAACGAATGCAAAATGTACGAAACAATATTTTGGGGAAAACGTCAATTCTTTCAGTAAGAAGGTAATGATTAGTACGAACCTGGTGTGCGTTCTCTAGCCAGAGCAGCCGTATTTTAATAAAATACATTAGCATCCATCTTTTTCATAATTTGAGAATTTTATAATTAGTCTCGATAAAATACCTTAGTTTCAGCAAACGCAACTATGTTTTGTATCTCTAGAATCCGTAGCATCTCTCCTTTCCCATAAATAGTTACATTGGGAATACTCTAGAGTACCGAGCATATTTGATAACGAAAAATGTTTGTTCTCATTAAATTAAAACCGTTTGCCCTGGGAAATAAGCTACGGAGAAAATTAGACAGTACTAACAACAAAAATATTAACTCTGCAATCCGTTCACGCTTGGTAATTTGGCAGGTCGGTAAAACGTGTGCAGGCAGCACAATATGTTATTATTTATAAATTTAATTTGACAGTACCACCAACCCAATACTCTCGCATATGGAAAAAATTGGCAGGTGAAGAAAACATGTGCAGATTGAACAGAGAGTTATGTTGCAGAGATTTAATTATATTGTACTTCCTACAAACAATATTAACATAAAATCCTTTAAAATTCGGTAATTTGGCATGACGAGAAAACGTGTGCAGATAGTAGAGTATGTCTCGATGTACATTTGCTACATGTGACGACCACCGCACTCACCTAAGTTATCTGCGGAGACAGACGGTGTCAGCACCAGGAAAGCCGCCAGCCACGACCGCCACCGCTGCATCAGAAAATGCCGCCGTCGCCGCCGTCGCCGGTCATCTGAGGAACCACGCACCAACACACGACCACGCACAGACGGCATCGCAAGCGACATCTTCATGCACACCTCCGCTGTCATCTCGCCATCATTTATTCGACCTCGCATCACACCCGAACCGAATCCTGCGATTATCTCAAAATCCGATTGGCATTCCAGAGCTATTCTCCTCGCGTTGACATCACAAAAGCGTCACCCAAAATCAATAAGTCACATACAACGACCGCGCTTCTTACCAGGATTGTCAAGCTATTACGGTTCAATTTACTAACATCTACATTTTACTAAAAACATTTTACTTAAAATGATTACATCAACGGTCTAAGTAATCTTTAGATAAACGGAAACATTCATCACTGCCGCACAATTAATTGTAAACACTTGTCACCACACCAGTTTCTTGACGACACGATCAGAATACTTCGCCCTTGGCGCCATGTTCCCGGCCACTGTTACAACACGTGCTCCTCTGCCGCCTTGCGATATCACCCCTGCTGGCTCTCTCCCTTTGAGTACTGGGGCGCGACTGACAGCTGAACGCCGCCGACCGACGTTGTTGCGCGGGCGACCGCCGAGAGGCGCGCGTGTCGCTCTCTCCGCCTTCCCCAGCTTCCGGAGCGATAGAGAACCCCAGAAAGATATACATGAAAAACTAACATTATTCTATCAACATTACGTCTACCAGAGATTCTAAAATTTTAATCCAATTCTAGAAGGGAATACAGAGAACGTATTATGGAATGTTCCGTTGAAGTATTTACTGTTCCAAAGGGAGAAGAATATGAAATAATAAACTAGAGAAAAATATTACCAGTTCACTTCTGAATTCAAATTTCATCGTACAGTACATTACAATAATGTTATTAATGTTTTATCATGATATCGTATAAACTATTATAACATGATGAAAGGGCTAATATACGAAGTCTTATTGTTGGTAGACTTTCAGTAGTATTATAATGGATTAAATTAAGTGGTGTTCATTGATTAAAAAATGTTTTCGTTTTCTGCATTATAATGAAATGTTCTTCTATTATATTCTTTTTTGTGCTTGTTGATATTTAAGGAAATCAATTAGCGCTCAGCTTTGAATACTTTATACAATTTGAATAGTTTTTCAGATAGTAGCCAGAAGAAAATACCATAGAAACTGTTGATAAGGTTGTAATCCAGACCTTTCAACACAGATTTGGTGAAACCAATAGTGTCAAATTTAATGACTATTTCGTTGTACAACTCTTTATTTGAAGAAATTAAAACTGTCAACCCCAAAAATCAAGAAAAAGTATTACAGATACAAAAGAGAATATGAAAGATTGGTGAGGGTAAACTTGCTAATATTCAAATTTTCTAATATCAACATTTTTGAGATTTCTAGAGAGGAATGTCACATATTTATAACGTTTATTATGATCAAATATATTATTTTATGATAGCTTTATATCTAATTTGATGAAAGCTAAATGTGCTAAATGGGATAACTCACAACACATGTTTTATGAATTGTCCAGTGTGACAATATTTAAAATTAAAGTGGTGAAACTGGTATCATCATTAATTAATCTTACTGATGAAACATTTAAAACTTTTAACTCAATTTCTTTGAATTGTAAATAGGTTTAAAATATAATTTTCACCTAATAATATTGACACATCGTGAGAAATGTACGCTATGAACATTATTTTTGTTGTACTTAAGCAATCAGTTAATTTACAGATTTGACTTATTTCTTGATTCACTTAGATTTGCGCGCTTAATAAGTACACTCAATTACCCTCTATTTTCAGCATATCCTTTACTTTTATTGTTTCATAGTTATAACGTCAGCATTTCATCTTTCCGTCATTTTCCCATTCTCATAAATTTATTTTCTTCCAATATCCTTTAGTACTCTTTGACACTGTGATTTGTTGCTTCTACCCCTTTACAATAATTATTTCTTAATTTGTTCCCAAATCTTACAAATTCTTTCTACCCTACTTCTCTAATACATCCTTCTCTTCCTATATTTATAGTTTAAATATTGATATTCTCTACTTAGTTATATTTTTCTTTTTTCAAAGCCGCTAAAACTCATCAATTTTTATTGTACATTATATTGACAACTAGCTGAAATATTCTGTGATGTCAGGTATTTATTAATCGTAAAAATTGTGTCTCACACGCCAGATTTATTATAATCATTGTTGCAACCATAATCGTTGCTATCGACAACCGTAAAAAGTCGCTTCGCGTACTACCGACAAACATTCCGTAACAGTTTTCACTACCCAATTCTCACAACCCAATTACGGTTTTTGAATGAATCAAAATGCATTCAATAGGGATTTAGATGAGCTTTTATTATCCCTGACGTTCTCGATATAGTCATAACCAAAAATTTCCCACTGCATCAAAAAGTAGTAGCTGAATTAGATTCAGACCATAATCCGATCCTAACATCTTACCAAGAAAATTTTAAAGAAATTACACCAGGAAATAACCCTTTAGGAAAACATATCAATTGGACTAAGTTCGCTTACCTAATGGAAAATAACTATAAATACCCACTATCTATTAGGTCGATTGCAAATATCGACTCCGAACTAGAAAAGTTAAATGCGGCTATTTTTAAATATCTAGACCACTCAGTAACAAAAAAGAAATACCCCCATTATTACAATACAAAAAATAAACTATTTTCTTCCCCTATTCCAAGGAAAATTATTAATTTAATTAAATCGAAACATAATTTAAGAAGATTTTGGCAAATCACTCGAAGACCAGATATAAAAGCAAAACTAAATAAATTATCAAGAGTAGTTAAAAATAAATTGAATAATCACCGCTACACTTCTTTTCGGCAGTTTATAAACCAAATTGATACAAACTCAGCACATCTCTAGTCAACTACAAAAAGAATCACTAGAGATAAAAACGAAATATCCGAATTAAAAGTGAACAATAAAAATGCTACTGGCATTCAGATGTTGATAAGGCCAAAGCGATTGCAGATCATTTACAAAATGTATTTAGACCACACCTCCAACAATAATACAACATAACAATGAAATTGAAAATTATATGAAACAACCACTAATTACAGCCGGAACCAAAATAAAGTTTATTTCACCGTCGCAAACACGGCCAATACCATTAAACATTTAAGACAGACAGAAAATCACCCGGTATTGATGGAATCAGTAATAGATGCTCCAAAGAATCTCATATAAAAACTCGTGGTACAGGACTAGACTGCAATATATAATGCCATCTTACGTTTTAATTACTTTCCCAGCATGCCTGGAAGACTGCCAGTTGTTCTTCCCTCCGCAGCCAGGAAAAGATCCTCGACGTTCCTGAACGATCTCATACAGACCTAAATAAGTTCTCTGTCCTCAATTTCCAAGATTTTTTGAAGAGGCTTCTACTAAAAGAGACTAAACAAGTATCTTAGAGACACGGAATGCAATACAGTACTCTTCAATTGGTCTTCTAGAGCAAATCACCTGCACTACCAGCTTGTGAAGACTACTGAGTCATTGCAACAGAGCTTCCAAGAGAAACAAAACATACCTTGGTGCATTTTCTGGATATTCGCCAAGTCGCTACGACAGAGTCTGGCATACCCGGTATCTGTTATTTAAATAAGAACGACTTGGAGTCCTGAGTATTATTCTCAGAATATTATAAAGGATTTATCAATGATAGAAAAATTTAAGGTCAAAATTAATCATCTCTTTTCTACTCTTCGTTAAACTTCAGCCGGAGTTCTCAGGGCCTCGTTCTTCACCTATTTTAATTTCAAATCTTCGTGAAGTTTGACATACCAGTTATACCACGTGGAAACTGCTTTTTTCGAGCTGATCTGCCCTGTTTTTCAGCAAGCTCAGATATGTAAATACGCAATAATAGATTTCAGAGATAATTATTTACATTCCTAATACAATGGACAAAAATGGATGAATGCAATCAAATTCTCAAAATGTCACCCCTAAAATTTTACTCTTAGGAGACCTCAAACCTCCCAATTGAAAATAGAATGACACCGAATACTTTGAAAGACTGAACCAATAAAGTATTTTGAGAGTATGTAGAAAAAACTTCTGGAAACCGCATATTACGCAGTATCAAACAAATCAATGCTAAAAATTAAAACTATCACCCTTTATAAATCAAGCATTCAACCTCCAAACCAAATGCCAGATTCTATTATAATTAAATCTATTATCCTACCCACACTAACTTATACTTTGCCCATTTTGGGAAACGCTGCCTTCCACCACGATACAATAAAAAATGCAAATTGTCCAAAAACATAAAGTCTCCAGAAAATTGCAATTAAAAGCTCCCTAGTGGGGTTTAACCTAACCACAAATTCACAGAAGAGACTTCCAGCATGGACAGTGTCGAAACCAATTAAAAAAGTGCAATAATACTTCTTATCTCCTCCTTCAATCTCATTCGCGTGAAAGTTTGCACCTAGGTCGAACAGCAACTCAAGCCGAATCAATCCAAATTTCCCAAAGACATGCTTATAACCTCCTTAAACCAACATTAATATCATCCCTCGGTTCTATATAGCATTTTTTCACGTTGCACCATTCCTATTGCTCGATAGGGCAATCCTTACACCTACCCCCCCCCTCTCCCAAAAAACATCAAAAATAAACCCAGCTGCTTCTACAAGCAAACCCAAACGAAATGTAACGATCCAGAGTATCTAATCTCAATTTCGGTCAGGATGCCCCATAATCCCAATAATGTCCAGTATGTAAAACCGAAACCCCTCGAAAGACCTTTGGTCGAACGAGAAGAAATAAATTAAAAAAAAAAGATAAGCTTTCTGATATGTTAAAATACCCTTTGGTGAATTTACTGTTTCCGAGATATTTGCGAAAAGCGGAAACAGTGATCACATAAATTTTTCTGTAAGAGTTAGGAAAGGAGAATTTAATTAATTATTAATATGAATTTGTATTGGACTTATTCAACGTAACGTTTCTTTGTCAATCAAAAATTACATAATTGCCTTTTTCCTTCAAATTATTTTTTAGCCCCTAAAAAGTAGTGTTTTCTAACATAAAGTGTTTCGAAAATGACCGATTTTGTTTGGAAAAGTTTCTCATAGTAATGTAGTTTCAAGACCACACTTTAAAAATTACTTATTGAAATATTTTAGAAATAATGAGTTGTATGAAGGAGCTGCAGAGGAGTGAGTAAATAAACTCTCTGGAACATGATTATTAAGTATCACG